CAACTACTCCGAATATACAGATCAAGAAATGTTATGTGCAAGAGGCAGATAATTTCACCCCCTGCCATGTCCAGAAACAGGCAATATTCTACAACCCAGCTCCTCCACTTCTTCCCATCACATAGGCCAGTCATTTGTTTTCGTTATTCTGTCTTTGTCCAGAGTTTTGACCTCTGATTGACTTTGAAGTTTACATATGAGGAAAAACAGCCAGGCAGCTGCTAAAACAAGCAAAGAGAGATCAAACAGTTCCGAAAGAATTAAAAACAAACAGCTTTTATCTTTTTCTTTTGTGTTTACCAATACATTAACAGATCCAAATAGATGGAGAGATACACAAATGTGCATACGTTTATTTAAATTATAACATTAAAAAATTACATTAGAAGAATATTGTTTAGATTAGCACAGCCGAACATTGAAGTATAAGGAAATTAGGAAAATTAGGAAATATCAGATTAAGATTGCTATGCTAATTTATTTCTGCCAGTGGGTGTGATTATCCTGTGTTGTACAGAATGAGGCATGCATCCTGTGGGAAAGTCTAAAATATGACTGTGTCATGGAAGGGTTTGTAAGAAAACACATGCACATGGGGAGGGACAAAAAGAGATTACCCAGAGACTCTTAAATCTGCTGTTTGCTAATGCATCAGGAACTGACGCGGTACCTTACATGACACTATTTAATAACCGGGGCATAGGGAATCAGATGTCCTGGCTTGTTTTTCTAAGGAGAAAAAAGCCAGAGGAGAGCAGCTCCCTGTGACACGTATCAAGAAATGCTGATTCTTGCCATTTATCCAGTAACACAAGCTGTCATGGCAGGCATTTATTTTGTCAGCTTTAGAGTGGAGGTTTCATGTCAGGCATTAAGTAGTAGGTCCAGATCCTGGAGCTGGAAGAAATCAGGTTTACTTATTTTACTAAACCTTCCTAACCCTATTCTCTTTTAAATTCAGCCCAGAAACTTCATCCTGCTTTTGCTGTGAAGTTTCTCTTAATGCTTCACCACTTATTACTGGTCTAGTGTCAGTGAGTACTGAGGTCTTTAAAGAGGTGATATTGTTCAATTATTGTATTGGCAGATTGCCTTGACCTTTTCTGAGTAAATCAACATGGGAAAAGCAGTGGTAGTTCCCAGTAGTTGCCTTTTCAGTAAACCTCACAGAAATTCACAGAACACAAAAAATTTTGCCTCTGAGATGAATGACTTTGACTTCCAAAGGCCTGCTGAAAACAATAATAGAATCATAGGATAGTTAGGGTTGGAAAGGACCTTAAGATCATCTAGTTCAAACCCCCCTGCCATGGGCAGGGACACCTCACACTAAATCATGTCACTCAAGGCTCTGTCCAACCTGGCCTTGAACACCACCAGGGATGGAGCATTCACAGCTTCCCTGGGCAACCCATTCCAGTGCCTCACCACCCCTACAGTAAAGAACTTCCTCATATCCAGTTTAAACTTCCCCTGTTTAAGTTTTAACCTGTTACCCCTTGTCCTGTCACTACAGTCCCTAATTAAGAATCCATTCCCAGCATCCCTATAGGCCCCCTTTCAGATACTGGAAGGCTGCTATGAGGTCTCCACTCACCCTTCTCTTCTCCAGGCTGAACAGCCCCAGTTTTCTCAGCCTATCTTGTTATGGGAGGTGCTCCAGTCCCCTGATCACCCTCGTGGCCCTCCTCTGGACTTGTTCCAACAGCTCCATGTCCTTTTTATGTTGAGGACACCAGAACTGCACACAGTACTCCAAGTGAGGTCTCATGAGAGCAGAGTAGAGGGGCAGGATCACCTCCTTCGTCCTGCTGGTCACACTCCTTTTGGTGCAGCCCAGGATACAGTTGGCTTTCTGGGCTGTGAGCACACACTGAAGCCGGCTCATGTTCATTTTCTCATCAGCCAACACCCCCAAGTCCTCCGCAGGGCTGCTCTGAATCTCTTCTCTCCCCAACCTGTAGCTGTGCCTGGGATTGCTCAGACCCAGGTGTAGGACCTTGCACTTGGCATGGTTAAACTTCATAAGGTTGGCATCAGCCCACCTCACAAGTGTGTCAAGGTCCCTCTGGATGGCATTCCTTCCCTCCAGTGTATCAACCGAATCACAGAGCTTGGTGTCATCGGCAAACTTGCTGAGGGCGCACTCAATCCCACTGTCCATGTCAGCGACGAAGATGTTAAACAAGACCGGTTCCAACATCGATCCCTGAGGGACACCACTCGTAACTGGTCTCCAGCCGGACATTGAGCCATTGACCACAACTCTTTGTGTGCGGCCATCCAGCCAGTTCTTTATCCACCGAGTGGTCCATCCACCAAATTGATGTCTCTCCAATTTAGAGACAAGGATGTCATGTGGGACAGCATGGAACGCTTTGCACAAGTCCAGGTAGATGACGTCAACTGCTCTACCACTGTCCATCGGTTCTGTAGCCCCATCATAGAAGGCCACCAAATTGTTCAGGCAGGATTTCCCCTTAGTGAAGCCATGCTGGCTGTCACCAAACACCTTGTTGTTTTTCATGTGCCTTAGCATGCCTTCCAGGAGAATCTGCTCGAAGATTTTGCCAGGCACAGAGGTGAGACTGACTGGTCTGTAGTTCCCTGGGTCATCCATTTTCCTCCTCTTGAAAATGGGGGTTATATTTCCCTATTTCCAGTCATTGGGAACTTCACCTGACTGCCATGATTTTTCAAATATGATGGCCAGCGGCTTAGCAACTTCATTCGCCAGCTCCTTCAGGATCTGTGGATGGATTTCATCAGGACCCATGGACTTGTGCACTTTCAGATTTTTAAGATGGTCTCGAACCAGATCCTCTCCTACAGTGGGCCCAAGGTTTTCATTGTCACAGTCCCTGCGTCTGCCTTCCAAGACTTGGGTGGTGTGGTCAGAGCCTTTGCCAGAGAAGACCGAGGCAGAGAAGTCATTCAGAACCTCAGCCTTCTCCAAATCCAGGCTAGCCAGTTCTCCTAATAGCTTCTGGAGAGGGGCCACGTTGTCCCTAGTCTGTCTTTTATTTGCAATGTACCTATAGAAACCCTTCCTGTTATATTTCACATCCCTAGCCAAGTTTAATTCTGACTGGGCCTTAGTTTTCCTAACCTGATCCCTAGCTTCCCAGACAACATCCCTGTACTCTTCCCAGGCCGCCTGTTCTTGCTTCCACCTTTTATAAGCCTCTTTTTTCCCTTGAATTTTCCTCAGCAGCTCCTTATCCATCCAAGGAGGTCTCCTGGCCCTCCTGCTGAACTTCCTTCTAGTTGGAATGCAACACTCCTGAGCTTGTAGCAGGTGATCCTTGAATACCAACCAACAGTCTTGAGCCCCCCTGCCCTCTAGGGCTATATCCCATGGAACCTTACTGAGCAGTTTCCTGAAGAGGCCAAAGTCTGCTCTTTTGAAGTCCAGGGCAGTGAGCTTGCTGCACGCTCTTCTTACTGTCCTGAGGATCTCAAATTTGTCCATCTCGTGATCGCTGCATCCAAGGCTGCCCTAGAGCATCACATTTCCAATGAGCCCTTCCCTGTTGGTGAGCACGAAGTCAAGCATGACACCTCTCTGTGTCTGCTCTTCTATTACTTGCAGAAGGAAGTTGTCTTTCACACAATCGAGGAACCTCCTGGATTGCTTGTGCCGGGCTGTACTGTCACTCCAACAGATGTCAGGATGGTTGAAGTCCTCCATGAGAACAAGGGCCTACAAGCATGAGGCTGTTCCTATCTGTCTATAATAAAGTTAGGCTTCCCTGAAGATGTCACATTTCCCAAATACCTAAAAAATATATTTCTACAGATATAAGAATGAATAATAATCTAAACCAGAATGCTTTTTTTGAAAATAAACCTCTACTTGCTCCCTTAAGAGTTTCCTTTTTTTTATTTAATAATCTGAACTCAAAAGTGCTCTGCAACTTGGGACAGAGGAAAACCTGTCCATGCGCTCTCCTGCCCCTTGATATTGCTTATAGAGTTAAGATAATTTGCTCCATAGTCAGCTAATTCAAATCTGCTTTCTTAAATGCTTAAATAGTGCTATATGATAGGACACAAATCCTACCAAGTGTCAACTCTCTGCATGCCATTTTGTGCCTCTGCCACAGATGAGCCATTGTGTCTCATATGCGCCATAATAAACTATAAAAAGGGCCAGTCTGGATAAATGGAAATACATTTTCCTGTTTCCTTTAATGTTGAATTTCACAGCTTGTTAAGGCAGGCTTTGTAGAGCAGAGTATCCCCTATAAACAGCAGGAGAATTATCTTTTCAGTATTAGCTTCACAGCTGAAACAGTTTGTGTACAGCTATCTTCTCCATCTATCCCTTGGGAATAAAGGCAGTGAAAGAATTCCTAAAGAAGGGAAAGGAAGTGCGTTGGCCAAGATCAAATTGCAAGCTTGCATAATTTGATGTACTAATGGCTGTCCACTAGATATTGCTGCAGGAGACTCGCCGAGATGTGAACTGTCCCAAGGACTGGAGTTCTGTGTTTAACTAACATCTCCTCAGTTTTGTTGTGGAATGAAGGTTATGACAGCTGCAAAGATTGCTCGTCTTTGTTGAGTATGCAATAGTGAGTAGCACTGAGAAAAATCCTGATTTTGAATGGAAATCTCCTCTGCTTGCAAGTAGTAGCTATGGGTAGGTTTGCTGCAGAGACAGTAAGTATAACTCCATCAGGGAGTCAGTACAAGTCTCCAAGGTTAACTTTGTGGCTTGAGATTAACTCAGGCTCTAGAGGAACATGTAATTTTTTCTAGTTCTTTCCATTTTTCAACATGTCAGGTTGTATTAGAGACAGCCTCACGTAGCACAGTGAAGTCACCCTTGTGTAAAACAACTCAGTGATGTATTTTGTGGTCTTTGCATGGGAGGCTGCAAGTTGCAAACCTTGCATCTTCCAAGTCTCAACATGTCATTTGTCACCTCTCAACTCCAGACGTAAGAGCCAACAATCAGAGATGCTACTTTGTTTACTGTTTAATAAAGCAAAGACTTACAGTGAATGAAATATTCCTGGACACAGAAGATCTTCTAATCTGACTTGTGCTAAGCAAGCTAGCAATTCATCACCCCAGTGCTAAGGTGCATACATAATGAGAAATATTTCTCCATAGAGGACAGAAAATTTTCTCACTCTGACAGCTAGGATTTTATCCTAGATATTAAGAAAACTCTGACCACATTAATTCCTATCTGCATAGATCTGCTGCTTATGGGGAAGCAACTGCTTCACACCAGCCGAGAAACCGTTGTCTAATTGGTGAATTATATGGCTTTTCCTTCTGCCATTTCTCCTTTCCACCAGACTGAGAAGAATCCTTCTAAATATAAGTATTCTAAAAACATCTGAACTGTTGTAGCTGTTACTGTGGAAATTAAACACATGGGGTTGGATTCTGCTTTTGGCTGGAGAAGGTTGGATTACAGAGGGAACTTGGAAATACCCAACAGATATTACACATATGCTGGATTAATGAAGCACATAGGTGATCAGGATTTCCCATTGGCAACTGCAAAAAGTCAAGTCCTTTTCCTGTGGTAATCTTAATTTCCTACCAATATTCTTCTGAAATAAAATATGGTAGCTAATGTTCATCCACAGATTATTTCATTCATTGTTTCAGTTTTCCCTCAGTCTAAAACTACACAGAAAAGAAAAAGATCCAGGATGAGATAGGTGAATTACTTTCTTTGATGAAGATGCTGTTATCTTTGCTATGATATTCCTGGATGGAGTTCTTGGAAACACGTATAAGATCAAAAAACAATAAATAATGTTGAGAAAAAATAAAGATGTCAAGAAGAATTACTGAACTGCAGTGGTGGAAAGTTGAATCTTCATCAGGAAGACATCCAACTACCTAAAAATAGTGCAGACTTCAAACCTCTGTACATCTGCTTCGATGATGAGAAGTAACAGGCATGTCATGGCCATTCCACGACTGATGCTGGTTCCTGAAATCTTTGTGTATCCCCAAAGGATGCTGTCCAGCAATTTCAGTTGACCAAACTGTTAAGCATTTTCCTCCAAAGCAAGAGAACCTTGCAGCAGCCTGGAGCTCAGGGTGGAGTAGGCTGGATGAGTTGTGAGGTGAGGAGAGTGGCTGCTGATCCTGTTTTTTGTTTCGACTACTGCTTGAAAGGAGGTATTTATCTTGCTACATACACTTCACAGGCTGCTCCAACTTGCCATAAGGTTTTCTTTATTTTTGCAGCATTCAAAAGAGGCAGGACTGTAAATTGTCTTTTCTGATTACCCTGAATCACATTAGCCTGCTGTATTTTGTGTGTAAGTGTACCCCATGGTGATCAAAGAACTTGAGGTGGCTTTACCAGGGAGGTGACATTGCTATGCCTGCCCTTTCCCAGGTGCACACATGCTGCTGCCTGCAGCACCCCATGGGGAGCACATACCAGGGAGCAGCTTTACCCCCAGTGCCAGGGCAGCTCTCAGGGCTCCCCTGCAAACCCCACTCACCTGCCCTCAGGGGGATGGCCAGTGAAGAATTTACACAGCAGGGAGACCATCCTCTAAAGGAAAAATATCCTTGGTCACTTGGAAACATTTTGTTTCTAGCTGCCAGGGAAAATGCTGACATTTATCTTTGGTCCTGGTGCCAAGTTACATTTTGGCTTGCTCACGCTGTCCAACTTTCTGGCTTGGAGAAAGAAGAAAAAGAAAGCAGGTACGCCACAAGGCTCCTTGCTGCCTTCTATTATGCCCATCTCTGAGTTGTTGCTTTTCTCCTTACTCTGCATCAATTCATGTGGGAGGGGGAAGAAGTGACTGTGGCAGCAATGCACAACAGAAACTGGAAACAATAACCTGCACTTTGGGGCATAGTGAGCAGCAACTCTGCTGAGAGCTGGGGATAATAGCCAGGGCATGGTAACCCACACTAATAGCTGGAAAACTACTTGATGTGCTTCCAGGTTTGCTGGTTTGCCCTCCTCTTATACCTTCCTGGGGAAAGGTGTGGAGCTGCTTCTTGCTGACAGCCCCACTGTGCAGCTTGGAAAGAGTTTCTCTGTGTGCTCAGTACTTGCCTCTGGGAGGTGAAAAATTTTGGTTTGCACAAGTAGTTCATATTTTATTATTATAACTTACCCAATCATAAATTGCATTCTTCATTTATTTTATTATTATAAGGTGTTATGTAGTTTATGTAAATATAGTTGATTCTGTAACTGATTCAGACTGCTGGCTTTGCTTTCCTAGGAAGGAAGAATCCTTGTTTTGGGAAAGTATATACTCACCCTCAGAGGAATCACCAAAGGCGTGAGACCCAGATGCTGTCCTGTGAGGAAAATCCCACTGGTGGTTATTCCCTTGGGCTGAACTGAGGATGAGCAGCAAAATCTGAGGAATGCAGCCTCAAAAAGGGTGAACTTGTCTCCTCTCCCATCCTGGTCTCCTCTTTGCTCTCTCTTGTGGAACATGTTAGCTCGGGGCAGTTTCTGTATAAAGAAGCCTTTCCTGAAGGGAACCTAGTTTGGGACACTGGGGTAGCTGAGAACAACTATGCTGAGCAAGAATATTCACCACTTTAGTTTGAGAAAAATACTGTTTACCCCTTTCTTATTCATTTGCCTCACCCATTTCCCTGTTTCTCACTGGAGGCGATGGGTGCCTTAGGCATGGGAGTAACAGCAGATCCCACAGCTACCATGGCTGTCAGACCAGGAAGGGCACACCAAGCCCCATAGAGTGGCCACCACACATCCAGGACCCTTAGAAATCTGCTCTCTCTGCTATAGCACCCTCTTACTGTGCCCAAAGTACCACTGCCCAAAGCCCCTTACATGCAGAGAGATGCCACCACATGGGCTGTCCTTCACACACATATCCCACCCTGACTAGTCCAGGTGCTGCTGCACAGCATGCTTATGCATACCAGAGATGATAACCTTCTTACCAATGCCATGTTACTGCTGTTAGACATGAGCAGAAGACCCCTATGGGTACCTGCAAAGTATTTGATTGTGGTCTCTGGTCCTAGCTGTGCTGCTGCCAGCACAAGTGCCCTTCATTCATGGGAAAGCAGAGAAAAAAGAGGGTCAGCAACTAGACCAGTAACTTCCTGTGCTCAGAAAGTCTCAGGGGCTCAAGGGCTGGCACTCAGACTTGCCTTTCTCTGGGTGTCTGGTCTCCTCTTGCTTGCCCACAGCTCTTTTTCAGTCTCACCTCTCTTCTTCACAGGGGAGATGGCAAGGCTTGGACCAACTAGCCTTGCTTACAGTGGGTGAAACGGCTTGGGCTGTGGTTCATCAGGACTGGTTTCTGCATATCTGCAAGGTTCCTTACTCATCACAGACACCACCACCCTTGGTAAAACACCAGGTCCTCACAGTGGACCATGAGGGAAACTAGTGCTTGCCACCTGCCAGGCTGGATTCCTCAGTGAGACACCTGATTCCAGCAAGAGCAGGAGCACTCAGGAAGGGGTGCCCAGCTAAGCAGCAACATGGCACACATGTGTAACTGACGTGCATCCGCAAAGGATCCTGACTTCCGATGCTCGTGTTTTTGAGTCCTCCCAGTTTTAAGTGTGACACACAAGATTTGCTGGACCCGTCTATACCAGCTTCATAGTGTATACACAGTGGATCCAAACCAGCTAGCATCAGACCTGTTATGTACTGACAGCTTGCCTTTCCAGTTGGGAGCCAGATACTTTTGTGCATGGACTTGAACCTTAAATGTGGCTGGCATTGGAGGCAACGCACTGAGGGCTGTTTCTACTGCAAGAACAAAGTTGTAGTGGAGCCACTTTTCCTGAATTACTTACAAGACAGTTTCTTCAGATACAGCAGAAGCCAAACAGCAGGAAGCAGTTCCTTTGCTTCTCTACATCAGCTCCTGCCACCCAGAGCTCAGCTCAAGAGCCTCTTAATTTCAGTTTTCCTCAGAAACATGTTCCATGGTTTCCTCCCATACCAGGAGAACTGAATATTCCCCTGTTGCTTCACCTCACAGATTATCCCATTTTTTGTGCTTTTCGTTCATACATTTCCAACATGCACTTACCCTTGGCCGTAGTTGCTTCTTCTCTCACAGTCTTGTGTGTCTGCTCTGCTATGGGCATTGACTTGCTCCTGTGTTTGAGATAAGAGATTGCTACTGTTTGTATGGTCTAGACATATCCCTTTTCATGGAACTATCTCAAATGAGGGTTAGTGATGACTCAAATACATAGCGATTTAAAGTATGAAATAGCCAAGTTCTTTGCAAAAGTCTGTTCCTGACTGCCTCAGATTGCTCACCCAAAGTTAAAATAAAATTTTTGTCTTGATCCCCGTGTTCTGTTTCACATAGAGGGATAACAATCCTTCACTAGTGTATTAGAAAGATAAAGAAATATATGTGCATGTGAAGCTCCCAGATACTAGATCAGTGAGAAGCACAGAAAATCCTTGGTTTTGTCCTTTAAAATGTTTTATCCTTTAAAAATGGGGCTTGGGTCAAGGAAAGATCTGATGCAGAAAAACTCATTTCTACAACAACCTTTTCTTTCTTTCCCTGACAAATGTTCAGCCCACCTCCTGATATTGTGGGACACGGGGGAATGACTAGGATAGAAGCAGTTGCACCACCTCCAACAGATTACAGCAGCAGAGATCCCCTATTCACCAGGGAGAATCTACTGTGGGAATCTCCAGTCGGTTTAAGTTCAAGTTCTGCTTATGCGTGCATAAGCAGAGCAAACTTGGCAGGCTGAACAGTCTGTCCCCTAGGAATATTGACAGATGAATGTAAACTCAATTACCTTGCTTTTTCATTCCAGTTGGGTTACTTGCACTGTGTACCAAGTACATCAGCATCTGGAGTCACTTTGAACAACAGGAGAAAGCATTTCCCAGTTGCAAAAGTAGAATTTTGTACAGTATTTATAACTTGCAAAAGGCAGGGGGTTGGCTGTGCTTTGTTTCCCACCATCCTGAAAAAAACTAAACAAACCAAGGCCTATCTTGGAGGTTCAATCTCCAAGGGCTTTGTTTGGAGGAGGGAATATAGCTAAGTGGCTGATAGCCATTTTGCCTATGAGCTTGTAAGAGTGAAAGATGCAAAACCAGCTCCTGAGTTGTCTTTACCTTTCTCCTCACCACCACCATCTTCACTATTCATTAATCCAGCTCATTACTGAAAGCTGAAAACACAAAAGTAAACATGAGTTAATGAGATTTGCACCTGGGGGTGGTAAATAAAGCTGCTCTGTGTGTGTGTGAGCTCTTGAAGAGAAACTCACTGCCGTAGGAGAACAAATCTCAGTACAGAAAGGACAGGCCTGCCTGGGGTAGGGAGTGTGTGCAGACAATGGGGAGAATATTGTAATTTTTTTGACTTCATAATCAGACAGGGAATGATGTGGAACAAAATCTTTCCTAACTTTATCCCTCCAATTAGTAAATGCATGTTTGCCTTATCTCTGTTTTCATTGCAGCTGGAAGCAGAAATTGATGCTAATCTGATTCCTTACTCCTGTGTAGTTCAGGACATTTCAAATCCATATTTTTCATCCTGGGGTTTTGTCTCAGGGAGAATTGAGACTTTGTCTTAGACTTAGAGAATTGAGACTTTGTCTGAAATGCAATAATATGGCGCATGCTAAACAAAATGAGTCTTTGTGTACCATTGTTATCAAAACATTATAGGAGCAGGAAATAGCTAGACATGGATTTTCCTTTGCTAGTTAGCTGCTACTATAGTTCTGTTAAAGTTCAACTCATTTTACTTTTAAATTCAATTGCAGCAGCTGAATGCTTTGCAAAGAAAGAAAGAGCCTGTAAGATGGTTCTTTATGAAATAGCAATGCACATAAGAAGTCAGTACATTTTCACCTTACCATTTCCTTTATTCAATCCACACTTGTCCGAATGTGACTTTTACTCTTGTGCCCAAGCATGACCTCCCTTTCGCCTCACTGATGCAGCATCACCAGCAAGCAGGAATAAGCCCCCTGTAAAATCAGCCCCTTTGTGACCTGCACATCACAGCCAGGCTCACCCCTTCAGGCATCGGTTGTTGGAGACAAGCTCAGTCTTGAAGATGCTGCTGTGAGTTGCTGGGTGGAAGAAACATGCTGCACGGTCTGATTTCCTTGGCAGAGTGCTCTCTTTCGGTCCTCTCCCATGCACAGGGCTATGGTCTGAAAGAAAAGCAAGCTTTATAAAAGCAGACCTCCTTAGGAATATATTCAGGGATGAATTCTCTTCTTCCGATGCTCAAATCAAGGTGAGGATTAACTCCACTGAAGACAGTGGAGCCAAACCAACATAAGTCAAAGGAGATTCAGGCTGTACCTCTAAGAAGCATCTGTTCCTATTACTTCCCAGACTTTAATTGCTGCAAATATATGAATCTTAATATTAACTGACTTCAAAGACCATAAAGCTCTAATTGTATACGCAGACTACTAGTAACACAATGTGCTGCTGATGCATAAAACACGCATAGATTGTACACAAATTAAAAAGCTTAAATTTAGCTTCAACCACACAAAAGACATCTTTATAACTAAGAATGATGGGAAGAAGCATCCCATTCCAGACCAGATGAACAACTCATTTTTTCACTGATCCTGGATTTGGCTGACCTGACTTAAATGTGACCCAAGACATTTCTTAGTGCTTTGGAAATTGCATCAACATACTTGGGTCGGAGATGCCACAGTCAGGAAGAAAAAAAATGGGGGGATTCTATTTTTAAAATTCTTCTGTTCCTGTTTAAAATAGATCAGTGAAGCATAACTTTTCCTATAGCTGTAATTCTTCAGGCTAAGCAAACTCCAGTAATTTCAAAGGCAGTGGGAACAAGGGGTCACTTGGGGCCAGCAAGCCAGAATTAACTCTTTGTTCTTTCCTAGGAAAAGCTTTTGTCACGTAATTGTTGTTGAAAAAAGACATCTTATAATTGAAAAGTTAAGCTTTTCCTAGCAAGAAAGAACAATCTGAAAAAGTATGTAGCAGTCATGGTCCCAGGGGTGTACAAGAACACTGAGGGAAGAGAAACATCAAGGGAAATTCAGCTCTAGTACCTACCACCAGCACAGGACTAGATCTCCTAGAATCACAGAATGGTTTGGATTTGAAGACCTTTAGAGTTCATCTAGTTTCAACCACCCTGCCATCAACAGGGACACCTTCCACTGGACCACGTTGCTCAAAGCCTCATCCAACCTGGCCTTGAACACTGCCAGGGATGGGGCAGCCACAGCTTATCTGGGCAACCTGTGCCAATGTCTCACCACCCTCATAGTGAAGAATTTTTTCCTAATGTCTAATATAAATCTCCTCTGTCAGTTTAAAGCCATTCCCCCTTGTCCTGTCACTACATGCCCTTGTAAAAAGTCTCTCTTAAGATTTCTTGTAGGCTTCTTTAGGTATTGGAAGCTGCTCGAAGGTCTCCCCAGAGCTTTGTCTTCCTCAGGCTGAACAGGCCCAACTCTTTCAGATTGAATTCATAGCAGAGATGCACCAGCTTGCAGATCATCTCCATGGCCTCCTCTGGACTCAGTTGAGCAGGTCCATATCCCTCTTGTTGGTGGCTCCAGAGCTGGAAGCAGTTGCAGCTGGGGTCTCAAGAGAGCAAAGCAGAGGTGGGGAATCAACTCCTTTGACTTGCTTGTCACAGTTCTTTAGATGCAGCCCAGCACATGGTTGCTTTCTGGACTGCAAGCTCACACCCCCAAGTCCTTCTCCTCAGGGCTGCTCTCAATTTTGCTAAATAACAACTGCCACTAGGTAGCTGGTGTCAATTGGAGACTGCCAGCAGCTATGAACACCTTCCAGAAACAGGAGGCTATGAGCCACAGCAGTGTACAAGCTTTTCCTGACATTACCAACAGTGCTGAGAGCCCCAAAGCCTTTACCCAATATCACAGAACTGAAAGCCTTCAGATTTAGGGGAAGAAAGCCACTTTCCAGCAGCATGACCTGACCCCCTTGAATGCTTAACATGAATCGCATAGATCCTTGTTCCATGATTGTTTTGTATCAGGCAGATAGACATACTTCATAAAATAAATCTTTTGTGAGCTAGTGTGTTAGATGATTTTTAGATCACAATTTTATACCAATATCCAAATAACCCCCAAACACTGAAAAACCCAAGGAGACACAGGTAGGCTGTCCTTGTCATCAAGATGTGTTTAGCTGAAGCATGGACTCCTGGCCTGAATTCACACCTTTGAGCATTGGCCATTCCACAGATAATGTTCCTTGGAGTAAAACTCTGTCCTTATGTGACCTATCAGCTGTAGCTCAATTCACACTTATCTAACAGTTACTTGCCATCCTCCAGGCAAGTCATAGGGTAGGTGATTTATTTCCAATACTTTTCAGACAAAGGAATGGCATTTAAAAAAGCCAAACAGATCCCAAGTGGCTTCCAACTGGGTGAAGTAATGATAGTTTGGAACTGGAAAGTATTTGCCTCAGTAGTTTTGAGAGCCAAACACAAGAAACTGGGGTAGATATTCAGGCTTTGAAAACACCAGCTACCTTCTGTTTGTTTGTATCTATATTTACACTGGGATAAACACCTCTCAGCAGAAGAAAATGAAATTTAAGTATTTCAGTCAAAGGACAGCAATTATAACAATAAGGCACTCCTTTCCCTACCTTCAAAGCATTTGCTAGTATCAACAGCAGACCTGAGACCAACTCCTGAGGCTTCAATGTCTTCTTACTAAGCCAACTTGACACTCTAGAGATCTGCTGTTTGCATTAGATGTTGTGAAATGTTTCAAACATTTCCTAGTCAGAGTGGTTTTGTCCCATTGGTTATGGGATAGAAGTTGGGTACACTGCAATGATGTTGCAAAGTCCTCTTTGAGAAAATAGCTTCTTCTTGCCATGATTGCGGAGTGTGACCAGTGGGTAGAATGGACTAATAAATCTTTAGTCTCAGGCCAATGCCCTCTGAAACATTCATGGTTCCTTAGTTGTGCTAAGGTAACAACCTGCCCTTATGTGGCATAAATCACATAAATGCTTAATGATATTTTAACTTCCACATCACTGAGCATGCATTGTTTCTAGGAAAAAAAAAACCCAAACAGATGTAAGGGTTTGAAGTATAAAAACCTTAGTGGTCTGGAAGTGTATAGCAGGAAGGAATACCCTGTAGCTACAATTTACAGGAGCTCCTCATGTTGGTGTTGACAAAACCAAAGGGGGCCTTCTCCAACGTTCCAAAGTATTCCACATGTTTAATGGAATGTGCAGAACCTTTTGAGCAAAAAATCTCTTTCCCTTTATAAACAAATGTCTGCAGTATATAAACTATTATAAAGACTAATTTTTAAAGGCTTAGTCAAATATAAATTTATGACATGGTTTAAAAATGCTAAAGATAACTTCTAAAAATGAGTGGTGAGCTTGATTTATGCAGTGCCATGTGATTAATGCAGTAATATGTTTTGATCCTCACCAGGGTCTAAAGCGCATAGAGCACATTTTTTTCACCTTTCTCTCTCAGTACAGATAATACAGTTTACAGCAGTGAGAGTCAATGCAGAGAATTAAGAGACAGGACAGTTGATAGCATCTAATTCTGCTTTTGCTTCTTTGGCAGAGCTGCAGGGAGTAATTCCACCAGGTTTGATTCAGTTTTTCTGTCAGTGGTACTTGTAAAATACTTTAAAATCTGTGGTTGAAAAGTGCAATATAAAGGTTAATTGTTCATCCTGTATCTGGTACTAGAAAAGCTCTCCTACTGAAGGAGAAGAACAAAATAAAAGCAGCACCTTCATCCTTTTTTCTTCTTTTAATTTTCCAAGTATTTTTAAATTTTTATGTTTGGATTCTGTTTCTAAAAATGCACTTTAAATACCAGACCATATTTACACTTGGGAATGATCCTAATTGTTGTGATCAGACAGTTCAATGCAGACTGTGTTCAAAGACTGCAGTTAGGTCCTACATGGAACACTTCCCTGAAAATCTAGTCCCCTCAGGCAATGGCTGTGTTGAATTGTATAACCTAAACAGCACCAGACCACCAGTCAGATAAGAAATATGCAAAATAAAATCTGAAGATATTTTAAGGAAATGTAGTTTGAGGACATGGTAAATTCAGCTTTAGAACTAAGTATCAGATCAGGAGTTTGCAGTCACACATTGTAAAATATTTTGGAAAAAAAAATCATGATTTTAGCTGAATTCTGTTTTAAACAATTTTAACTTTGTTGGGGTAGGTCTTGGGCTTGTTCTGATACTGTCAGAGTAAGTTTCATCAGCCAGCTCTCAACTTCTTGTCATTTTTTTATCTCCAGGTCACTGTTGCCAGTCACTGGTGTCCTTTAACTGGAGGTTCAAGTCAGAGACTCTTCAATGTCTGTGTTGCAGCTGTTCCCAGCTATCTACCTCACTTGCCTCAGAGTCCTTGCACATTCTGCTTTTGACTTCTGCATCTACTCTCTGCCTCCATCCTTATATGCTGAAGGTGGTGAAGCAAGACAAGATGGTCACAGAGCCAGAGCTGCATTTCTGTCAGTAAAGGGTCATGCTATGAGTCATGCACACCTTTTGTATTTCTCTAGCCCTGTGTGCCAAAATCCAGCCTGAACCCAGCTGAGGAGCTGGACGTGTTGTCAGTGTATATCATGACAGAGCTTACAGTGACATTTCCATGCAGATATTGCAGAGTGGACACCAAAGAGACTGGAGCAGCACAGGGCAAACCTTTGAAGTGTGACTACAAAAAGTCTAGTGACAGGAACGGGCTGCCTGGTGCCACAGGGTACTGCTGATTCCTGAGGAGACCGACTTATCCAAACTGGGTACATTGGCAGCTTGAGGGCAGACTTCCCTTTTTTTGAGCCTAAGCAATCTTGTATCAGAAAGAAAACGGGTAATTCAGGGATGATGAGTGGACTGTCCTAGGAGATGTGGCCACAGGAAAGAAGGGTAGGTGGGCTGCACCTTGGGTGTTGCTTACAGGGGGCTTCAAGGTGAAAAAAATTAATTACCTGCCTGTTTGAGAGCTCTTTCCGGATTGCATTTTTTCTGTTTGTTTGACTTCTGTTGCGGGGTGCTCCAGCTTTCAGGGCATGTTGCCAGGGGTTATGTGCTCTGCCAAGCGGCAGCCTCACGTTCTTGAGCAGGCAACATCCTGGTTCCACCCTATCCTGAATGGGGTGTGCTCTTATGTACTGTCAAGCACACTTTATTTCAGACAGACATTTGGTGAAAAGAAGTTATGCTAATCCTGCCTTTCTCCCATAAACTGACCACCATAAAAACAAGCTGTAGCTTGACACAGCAATGTTGTATCCTTTGGAGAGATCCGAGGAGAAGAGATGATCCCCTATATGTGCACAGGCTCTTTCCAGGTGATGATATACCCTCAGTCAGCATTTGCTATTGCTGTACTGTGGCATACTTTGACTTGAATGACAAGGGACTTCAACTGATTAGAAATGATGTGCATCGCTGTCACATTCTCCAGCAGGGCAGAGATTTCACCTGCAGACAATTGCCCACAGACAAGTCGCTATCACGAGGGCTGGCCTAGAAAAGGAAGATAAAAAATAGTGATGCAAGGGTCTAAACAGAAAGGAAAATAGTTACTTACCTTTGTAGTCATAGAAACATAGAGCCATAGAATCAACTATGTTGGAAAAGATCTTTAAGATCATCAAGTCCAACCATTACTCCAGGACTGACAAGGCCACCACTAAACCATATCACTCAGGGCCTCATCTACATGGCTTTTGAACACTTCTAGGGACAGTGATTGCACCACTTCCCTGGGCAGCCTGTTCCAATGCCTGAGCACCCTTTTGGTGAAGAAATTTTTCCTAATATCGGATCTAAACCTCCCCTGGCACAGGTTGAGGCTGTTACCTATTGTCCTGTCTCTTGTTACTAGGAGAAGAGATAAACCCCCACCTTGCTTCATCCTTCTTTCAGGTAGCTGTCCAGTGAGATAAGGTCCCCCCTGAGCCTCCTCTTCTCCAGACTAGATGCCTCAGTTTCCTCAGATATTCCTCATCACACCTATTCTCCAGAATCTTCAGTCTTGGTTGTCCTCCAGAAGACAGCTTTGTTGTCCTTCGGACCCGCTCCAGCACCTCAGTATCTCTCTTGCAGTGAGGGGCCCAGAACTGACCACAGGATTTGAGGTGTGGCCTCACCAGTGCCAAGTACAGGGGGATGATCGCTCCCCTGGCCCTGCTGGCTCCTAGATCATGAGGAGATAAGAACTGCTGAATCTTTACAGCCATGTCCGTAGAGAGGGGTTTGTGTAGTGTATGATGTATATATGTGTAATTCAGGGGACAGATGATAAGTTTGCAGTGGTGAAAGCTAGGGAGCAGGAAAGCAGCTGGGCTCAGAAGCGGTGCCACCTTTGCTAGGCGGCAGCTGAGCCTCCGAGCTTCCCAGTGAGGCGGCAGCCCCGCGGCGCATTTCGGCAGCCCGGCGACACGGGCGCCCGAGCTCTGCCCCGCCGGGCACAGGCAGGCCAAGCTGGCCGCCGGACACTCGGTGGCAGCCGGCAGCGGACCGCGCTTGGTTTCTTCCCTGGCCGTCAACAGGGCCGCCGCTGTGTTATCAGACGGGCCGCTAGGCGGCGCTGCGACCGCGCGGGGCTCCGTAGCGTTTTACTGTCTCTCTCGCAGGGGCTGGGTTGGTCAAGTAACGAAACGCTTCCCGGAGGGTAAGTAAAGACTTCCCCGGAAAGGAGGGAATGGCAAGCGGCACACGGGAGAAGGGCTGGCCGTTAGGCAGCCAGGAGGGGCTGCTGCGACGCAGAACCACAGGGATGCTGCAGGGATGGAGAGCAGAAATACGGGTAACAACCGTTTCAGAAGAATGCGGCTCTGAAATTATAGGAACGAGGGGGTTTCAATAATGTATTAAGTGCTATATAGGAACAGTAGAAATGCCACCAGAGATGTAGACAGGAGAGAAGCTTCAACCAACATAACCATGCTCTTGTTAAGAAACACTTTAGGGGGATTTGTTAAGACTTGGTTTTGACTCAGGGTTGCCTGGGATTTTTGCCCATGCACAGTATAAATCATCAGATGAACAAAGGTTGGCAGTGGGTTTAAGAATTTCAATAAATACGTCAGTTCTGCATCTGGGAATAAAAGCAATTGGTGTCACTGCTGTGGAGGAAACAGGAGGTGTCTCAAAATGCTCTAAACAACACCACTGATACCATGAACCTTAACATCAGAAAAGGTGTATTGTTAACATCCCAGAACTTTCTGAGAGCTGACAGAAGAGTGCTCTCAGTCACTAAAACTCGCTTTCAGGAGAACTGGAAGTTGAGGGGATCTCCAGCAGGTGGGAAACAAGTTCACGTAGGAATTGTACTTTGAAAGGTAAACAGAGCAACCTGGTCAGTTTAGGTTGTGAACTTCTGTCCAGCCTGTAGCCTGGACTTTTCTGACTACAGGCTTCATGGAAGTCCAGAGCGTGAAATGCATGCTACTCAAAATAACTGTTAATAAATACCAAAATACAAGGACTACATTACTTTTGCCAACTGACGTGGATTTACAGAAAGCAGATTCTGATGAGATAATTGTTACCTGTATCAGAAGAGTAAGATCTTAATTCATAAATATAGATATTTTAATATAAAACTATTGCATAAGTCTTTAGTTTTGCACACTTTGTTTTGCTAACTGTTTTGCACAGTTCTGTGATTAAGAACTTACAGCAAATTAATATACCAGATATGTTCAAAATCCAGTGGTTAACTCAATGGTTAGTCTTAATGCTAAACAGTCATTGTTCAGTATCGCTCATTGTTCAGTGTTAACCAGAGGAGCTCCACCTGGATTGCCTCCTGGCTATTTTCCATTTCTATCTGTGATAGAGAAGAAAACATAAACTCATCGTATTGCAACAGACCAGAGGAACAGAAACAAAAATAGGTCACTGATGTAATCAGGTGGTAAACAGAAAGCAAGCATGTAATACATCACTTTATTACAGGTAAAGATGAAGCTCTGTATCTAAGAACAGGGAATGAAGGCCACAGTAGTAAGATGCAAAACTATACTTGGCAGCAGTGGCTCTGGAAAAGACTCAGAAAAGAATGGCACAGCCCCTGAACAGAAACTCCCACTGAAAGGGGACCTGAAGGGGTGTTGTAACCTTTAGATGTACTGAGAGTGGAGTCTTAAGTCAGGCTAGTGAAGTTACAGTAGTTTGGGATTTATTTGGCACTAATCTTGCTGTTACACTGAAATGCTGGTCTAGGTCTCCAAGGCTCGGATCAGGGAGGACGTTACCACATTAGTGGAGGGAGAGATGGATGTCATTTTGCTCTACTAGACCCAGAGCACATGTGAAGGTGCTCCTACTGCTCCAGGGACTTCCCTTATAGGCAAGAAAATGGTGTGACATAGCCATCAGAATGATGAAGTCTGTGAAAGCAGAGCTTTTCCTATCTGAAAGACAGATAGCTAGCTTCAGATCTGATAGATATCACATATTATTTTCTTGGAACTGAAACCATTCAGTGCTAACTGAGCTTTTGTCACAGATGGAAGCAAGTACCTTTGAGATCAAGGTTTGCACGCTTCTCCTCAATGACTGGGAACAATATTAGGTCCCCTAATATAGTTATCTTAAAAAGGAAAACCTTATACATGTCTGAGGATAAATGCAAGACTGAACTTTTACTGAACTTCGGAAAATACCAGATTAAATGACTTGATGGAGTTTCCCCCATTCAAGAGAGAGAATGTATTTCATCCCCTTGGCAGTTCTTGGAAAGGAGGTGCAGAAAGGAAGGGTTTAGCATGTACCTGAGTTGTGCAACCAGCTCTCAATTTGAATCCATTAATTCAGAGCTCTTGTTCAGTTCACTGCAGGGGCTCAGTTCAAGCATCTTGGAAACAAAACCTGGCAAGAACAAGAATTCATGCTTTGTCCAAAGGTTTTCCCAAACCCAGACACCCCTCTTTTTGCCCTCATATTTTGCTGTTGTACTGCTTCCCCACAGAGCTGCTGATGCCAATGCTTGCATGTGTCCTTGCATGTGGGTTTATGTGCATGCAAGCTACCTCAATCTTAACACCTCCCCACTGTATTACGTTTTTTTTCACGTCAGTCACAGCAGCACAGCCTACGTATCTGGGAAGTTAAAAGTACCTAAAAACGTCCATTCTTTTTACTGAGCTGGTATACAATTGCTTTCTGATAATAGAAAAAAGGGAGCATTGGAGAGCACCTGCTCCAGCTCCCTGCTGAGAACATGGCTGAGTTAGCACATGGTGCTCAGCATCATTTCCAGTCAAGTTGTAAGTATGCCAAGGATGGAGATTCCTCAGTCCCTCTGAGCAACCATTGCCTGAAAGGATTTATTTTTTTCCCCTAACACTGTGGTGGAATTTCTCTTCTTGTTCCCGATAGGCAAGTGTCGACTGGTGTTTACAGAAGAAGGCTGTGTGCTTGATGGCAATGTGATGAAGGACAAACTTCTTTGTAGGGAGGTGGCATTTACATTCTTGAGCATGCTCTTGGTCTATCTGGTTGCTCAGCAACTCGTCTCCAGTGAAACCAGATAAGATTTGAGTAGCAACATTGTTCTCCCAGCCAACAGGCAGTTAAATGACCAGGTAGTTGACCGAAGTGTTTGATGAAGTCAACATAGACTCTGTTACAACCAGTACTTTAGTGATCATTATGTTTACCTCTCTCCATGTACATCTTCACATTCTAGTTTTAGTAATGTTTAGTTTCCTCTCTAGTAGCACCTCTTGAAGGATTTTATAAACCATTCCTAGTATCTGTCTGCTTTCAACTCCATTAGCACTGGTCTCCTACCTCAGATCTTCCACTCACAAGGGATATGCTTTTCCTCCTACTCCCAACTTCATTTAGAATTGAAAATTTCAAAATCTTAGGATTTTCCAAGTTTACTTTTGCATAATGTTCAAGTTCCTGGTGCTGATGATCGCAGCAGACGTAGACAGGACTCAATCACCAAGAGTATAAATATCTGGCATTTCCAGTTCCAAGTTCCCACCACAGCTGGAGCCACCATCTGTGAGGCACCACACGGCACATTTGGTATTTTGGGAAAAGTGTTACTCTCAGGTGACCCCTTGAAGAGGTTTATGCTGAGCCAGGCAGCACTGCACTTTAATCATGGGGTGCCAAAACCCAAGAGGAATCCTTGACTTTCAACTACAAAACGTTACATAAAACTGAATTTACCTTAAGGAAACTCCTTCCTCAAAGGCCAAGGATAAACAAAACAAAACAGTAATAAAGAAAGCAAAGAAGGGCAGAAACACCATACATGTAGGATTACTGATCTGGAAATGCTACAGCTCAGGAAGCAGAAGCCCAGGTTATGTGGTCTAATATTTTTTGTCAAGTTCATAGATTGCTAAATGTTATGAGTGGACACAGTAAGAGATTTAGCTGGCTTTCTGTTACTTCAGAGGAACAGAACCTCCTGTAGACGAAGTAGAAGACCCGGAGGGATTTGTTTTGCATAACCTGGACCTACCCTTTTTCTCTGGAGCAGCTGGGACATG